TTTTTTTGTGTTGACACAAGCTTTTGAGAATCAAGTGTAACATGGAAAAATCTCCCAGTGGAATGCTGCTTTCACCTGTTTTCAGTTTCCTGTAACCAGTAGCTGGAAGGACATGTCAAGAAACTTCTGTGAGCCTTTGAAATGCTTTTGAAAAGTGTTAAGAAGTTTCTGGCAGGTTTCTCCTTTTTGTTTACAGTGCATTCTTTCTTGTTCTGGAGGTATCAAAGACATCAACTCTGTGGTCTGTTTGCTTTACTGTTTCAAACCTGTGGTGAACATCTCTTAAATTCCATTTTTATTGTGACTGTATGCCATGGGAAGGGGCCTCCTGAACTGCTGGAACACCAGTGCATTTTTTACAATTATAGTTAAATTACCAATGTTCTTTCTACTGTGGCATATTTATTGTTAATGAATGCCAAGCTGTCAGTGTTGGCTTTCATTTTCTTGTAAATGCTGACAGTAGTAGGTGCTGCCTTTGGGCAAGTGAGTTTTTTGTGTGTTCAGGTGCTTTATTAACTGTTATTCAAGTTATTGATACAATGATGTGAAATTTATAGCAGACATTGTGGTAGAAGTGATGACTTTCTCTCTAGCTGATTTTTTTATCTTAATTTCTCTGATCCTTTTTTCTGATCTGTTTACATGGAAGGGACTGTTAGAGAGCCTGGAAGTATACCATGGTAGTGGTCATAATATGGACATAAAGAATTCAATTCTTTACTGATGGTAATTAGTACTTCTTTATTTCTGACATAATATGGTAGTATAGTGTCATGGCAATATTTGTATCCATTGCTCGCTTAATTAAGTGAATTAATTCAGGCATTGCACTGAAATGCCAGCCAACTGTAGTTACCCAATCATATTTCAAAGTGTAAAAAGTTATTGATTTACTTAAAGAAATTCTCAGTCATTACGGCTGGCTTTGTACAGCCGTGCTAATATTTATCTCTGTTCTAATACTGATACTACAGTTAATATTCTCACTCCAGAAATCCTGCTCATCTAGGTATCTATTATTTTTACCTTTCTGGTGCTGGTCATTGTCAAGCAAACCACAGAACTGGAGGGAAGGTTTAGTTGGCAGCTGTAATACAAAGACATTAAAAAAAAAATCCTTGAAAGAAAGAAATGAAAAAAAAAAGGAGGGGGGAGGAAGTGTGGAGGTTTCCCAGATTCCTTTCTAATCTTTTAACAGTAAGAAGAGAACAGGGAAAAGTAGAATTAGTAGATACCTGAAATTTTGCAGCAAAAGCTAATAAAGCAATAGGGATAATGGAGGTCAACTCTCTGCATTTACCTGTATCTTTGTAATATGAAAGACATGAAGCTTTCTTTTGTTACTTGTTTGCATTTTAATTTTCTTTAGAGTTCTTTAGAAACATGGCATGCAGAGGATTTTACTGGGTTTCATGGTAAAACATATATTGCAAACTTATATATGCTAACATATATTGCTAAATGAACAATGCTTAATTTATTTATTAATTTCAGGGTGATGTAAAACCCATGAAATAAGATAGCACTTTCAGAAGACACCTGTAAATGTTTAACTGAAATAACACTTCTTCAGAAATTCAAAGTTGTCACTTAGAAAATCTCAGAGTAGTTTTGTGTAGTTGCCTTCTGCATTAGTATTAAAAAGAAAAAAGGAAATAGATTAAAAGGAATAAACTTTCATTTACCTAGTAACTGGTAAAATAAGTATTTAAAAACTTCAGTAAGGATTTTATGTACAGAGTTGTCTAGATGGTGCTTAGATATGGTTCTGTTATTGCAGTGGTGGATTATTAGTAGTAAAGCAACAACTCTGTATATTCAGATGTACAAACCCATTTTTCTTGGTTTATGTGGAACTTGGGGAGACAGGTATGGTACTGAAGATGGAAAAATGATTTTACGTGGGTTGATTTTGGGGGAGGGGGATGTGTTTGGGGTTTGGTTAGTTTCTTGGTTGTTGTTTTCTTAATTTTTCAAATAATAGTGTTCGCAGTGAAGTCAGGTTAGAATTTTCCTATGGTTATGAAAGGAACTAAAAGTGTATGTAGAAAAACAAGCTTGTGAATAAAGTGATTTCTTGTAGTTGAATAAGCATCTTTACACTTGATAGTTCAGTGATTTTTGTTTTGGTTCAGAATAGTAAGAATGAAACCTTGCTTATAGTTTTAAAATGAGCACTCATTAAAGCTTTATATTAATGACAACTTGGAATGAAGTATGTCTATTATGCAGAGTTTAGCTTAGGTTTTTTTCAATGTTTTGTCATGAACTAGTGTCGGCAAGTATGGCTTTGCTCCTCTGGAATTACTGTGTTGACTAAGTCTTTGCAATGACTTGAAGCAGAACATTTCAAGGTGATGTTTCAAGTTACTAATATTTTCTGAGGATCGTATCAAGTATATACAGTGTGACAAAGTAGCTTTGTTAATGTGACTATGAATATGACTATATGACTAGAAACTTGTCTCCACAGAACTAACTTGTTTTCTTCAAAGTTGAATATAGTGAAAATACTCTTTTTTTCCCTTTGCTCATCATATTCCTCCATCTTACCAACACTCTTTTGTCTTACAAGCTAGCTGTTAATGCTACTTAAGTACAAATGTTGAAATTACAGTATATGTTTCTACAGTGTTACTTGGAAATATCTTCTCGTTTCAGTGACACTACTGGGTTTTTTTAATTTTTATTGCTTACTGTTGTTATTTCTCATGTTGAATGTGCAACCTGAATGGAGAATTTGACTCTGGGAGCTTTGTCTCAAAGAATTAATTTCAAATCTGTAATGTTCGAAGGGTTTTTCAAAATTTTCAGTCATTTGTAGTATATTAATTGGGTTTTATATTATATAAGCTTGTTTTTAAAGGAACCACAGATACAATTTGTATAATCATATACCTTGACATTTCTTTTTCCTAGTATTTTTGTTGAGCTTTTTAAGACAGTAATCTGCTGACTCTAAGGCAATTCATGTTTTTCTAAAATTCTTAGACTGTGCTCAATTATTCAGTATTATGCCGTTATTACCTATTTAATGTATTCTTGCCATTAAACTTTCATTTCCTTTTATACAGTTTAATGTCATTGAAGACTGAACTATGCTAAGTTTGTCTTGTATTAAGATGAGTGGTTCAACACTCCAAGCTTGAAATTCTAACCAAGCTGGTTAATCCTCATTTCAATTAACTGAAAATATAGGTATTGTAACTGTGCACTCCTATGAAACCATGTAGGTAGATATTACTGTTTCAAAATCTTGATATTTATATATTAAGAACCATCATATTGATTTCTACTTTTTGCCGTTCTAAATTAACATTATAAGCTAATGAAAGAATATAACTTTATTTTTATGCTTCTGAGGCTGTAATGAAGAAGAGGGGATTACTTACAGAGTAAGTTTCTTAGGAGGAAAATTTGCATTACGTAAAGTTTTTGACCTCCTTCCAATGGAAGATATTTCCAGCTTTGGTATGCTTTCGTGTAGCTTGTGGAACAACAGCTTTCTAAGTACTCAACAGTATCCAAACACTACCGAAATGTTATGAATAGAATATCCACCTTTATTTCCTTTCTTTATTCTGCAATTTGTTGTTTTCTGAAGAATCATTTGTGGGTTTAGTCTCATCGCAAAAATAAATGGTCTATAAGATTTCTCTGTATATCTCTCCCCTACTTAATTTCCAGGTTTGCTATTTTCAGAGACATGGGGATCTCAAAATATTGAGTAATTAGCAATATGATACTAGGCAGAGTCTCAAATTAGAGTCTGAAGTATGGGGAAAGGTTGAAGCATGAGCTCTGCTGTATTAAGAATAAGAATCTGCCTGGAATAGACATTACAAGTAAAAGCTACAGGGAGCCAGGCTGCATGATTTTTGTAGTTCAGGGAATAACTTGTGTCTTTTGTTCTTGGTTTTTGATATGTACAGCATAACACTTGCATCAGCTACAATTCAGTATCAGCAGAACTAGTTTAATTGTGTACTAGCTGTTTTTTAACAGTGATTTGTGACTTTGTATTTTCATGGATATAAACAACCACAGCAGAGGAAAACAGCAGACTGATGCTTACTTGCTTCAAAGCAAAGTAGTATTTCCCTTAGTAGCTTGCACCTTTCCTGCATTTGCAAATGAATTGTTCTAAAAATATTTTTCTCATGTAGGGGGAGAAAAAAAATGCTACTTTTTTCCTATTTAAGTGTCTGGCTTAATCCTTTTAATGAAGACTGCTGGGATGGAAGTCAATCTGTTTCATTTCTAGACTTCCTAATGGAAAAAAATACTTCTGTTGTTCCATGGTGTTTTTCTTAGTAATAATTTTTCAATACTGTTTGTCAGTTAACTGGGGCATGTGGGTGGATATTCCATTTTGATAAGATCTGTCATTACACAGTTAAGAGAACACCCTAAATGAGTGTACCCAGTACAGGATGCCTGAGGCATGAGCTGAGCTATGTGGCTAGGCATTAAGGAATCCACAAAGAAGACACGTCTGTAGTAAAGGCAAAGAAAAGTAGACATCATACTGTATAATTTTGTCATTGGTAGTTATGCATAGTTCAAATATTACATATAAAATGTATGTACATAATATGAAGACATGACATCATATCACTTGAACATAGCAGGGTATTATAGTCAGATTCTCACAGCAAACTGATTTTCATTATGTATTTTCATAGAATGTATTATACAAAATTAATCATTTATTAGAAGAAAAATGGCCAAGATATTTGGAACTTTTATAAAGTCAGTAGTATAGTCTATTAATGGCAAATCTTCACCTTTGGAAAGAGATCATTTAATGGAAAAGTGTGCCACCGTGTTGGTGTGAACTTGCAGACATGTAACATTAATATATAAAAATGTCATGTTTGAAAGCAGGATAGCACGAGCAAATTTGCCAGTTGTAACCTTTGTACTGAGTTCTCTTTGTTTGTTTTTTACTGTTAGATTGGATTATATTTGAATCCTTTTCCTTAACAAAACCTTACAGCTTTGCTGAGAGTGCCCGAGAGCAATATGAAAAACTGTCCAACATGCACAACAACATGACTAAGTTGTATGAAAATTTGGGAGAATACTTTACCTTTGATCCCAAAGCAGTAAGCATAGAAGAATTCTTTGGTGATCTGAGCAACTTCAGAACTCTATTTTTGGTGAGTAATGTCCGCAAAGCATTGTACATATTCTTATTTCTTCTTTTTCCCAATTTGATTTCTTTCTTCTTTTCTCTATATCTTATATTACAGTTTACATTTAGTTCTGTGGCAGGAAATTGGATTTTGGTCACTGATAGCTGTCAACCTCCAGTTTGTAACTTGCCAACTCAACTATAAATGTGGTTGAGATATATGCATATTTATAAAATATTGTTCCTCGTTTTCCTCTATTGATTGACGCACAACAAACACATGATACTGAAAAACATGTTGAAATGAAGACCTGAATGGATGTCTGTGTTCATATTGTGCTAGAATCTGGCTGGTGCCTTGATGCTGTGATGCTAAGGCTGAGACTTTCAAGGTGAGCTCTGTATCCCTGGCAAAACTCGCAAAGTTCACTTAGGTGCTTATATTACTATTTCCAGTCATCCACTGTCGTCAGTGTCAGGGTATGGCATTTTATGAAGGAATTTAAGAATTTCATTTTAAACAGCTCAGGTTTTTAACAGGTTTAATGTCATCTTTCCTAGTGGCTGTCTGGGAACCATAATTAGATGCACCATAGGAAGTGTACAGGCAAAACAGATGCCTAGAATGTCACATTGTGTCTCCAGAGAATATTAACATCTCCTGGAAATACCACCATTTACCATACAGCTGTGGCTCACCGACCTGTCTTTTGCCAGTAGCTGGCTTAATTTATCATGTAATCATAAGGACTTTCAGTTTCAGTGTGATGGAGAATTAACTTCTTTAAAACATTATTTTCATGCTGAGTTTACTTCATTAGAAAATTTTTGCTACAATATATTTAATTATTCATTTTAAAGTTGTTGAAATTGTTCTTTTTTTTAATAAGCAAATCACAGTTTCTTTTATCACTATTGAGTATGCTAACACATCTGCATGAAGACTTGTCAAGAACAGGAATAGTTGCCATGAGATATTTGTGTGTTGACTTTTTCATAAATTCAAGACTTATGTTTTCAATAAATTTGGAAATCCACTTTATTGTAACTACTTGAAACAGACTTCAGACTAGCAATGTCCAAATACTGTGATGAAAATCTGTCCTCAAATATGTATTTAAACTGTTATGAAGGTCATAGGAGATAGAGGACAATTGTTTTCTAGAAGGCGTATTAGAATCAAAATACTTTCAATTGCTTACTTTTGTTTTCTTTTTGACTTCCTGAAGATCTGGCTGATGGTGTGTTGCTCTTCAATGGTTATAATTAAATTTCCAGGGAGAATATTTGTAAGAGATTCATGTATCACTTTGGAGTGACGGAGTAACAGTGGGGAGGGGGAAAAGTGGTATTTCAGGTTTTCTCTTAGTGCAGTAAATCTCATAATAACAAGGCTGGAATATTTTTGTGGCCTTTCCAAATGAACCAAAAGCAGCAAAGAAACTGCAGCGTGTACATCACAGTTCCAGGAACAGATTAAATTGTCATTGTTTCAGGTTTAGAATGAGTTTCTGTAAGTAATTCTGTAAGAGTAAAGTGCTGAATTCAGGGCCAGGGGTGCTACTGAATCATGTGTAAAAGATCTTTATTTCACAGCAAAAAGCTGTACATAAGACTTTAAAAAGTGATAGTGATGATCATTTGACAATTGACTTTCCTTAGAGTTGTGGACTTTGGACTACATGATGTAGTATTAATGATACAGTAATGATTTCGTTAACACTTGTGATTTTGGTAACACTTTAGCCTTTAATATAATGGCTATATATGATTTATGTTTATAATAGAGAATGCTTTACCCATGTCCATTATTTTGATAACTTAACAAGCAAAGGGACAACTGAATAAACATCTTGTATTATAAACACTGGCTATGAAGAAATTGCCACAACACTTGTGGTATCAAAATTTTAAACATATGAACATGCAACGCATCTTCTGATGATCCAGGTCCCACTCTCTGCAAAGCCAGAATCTGGTTTAAGTTGTAAAGTTTTTATTTTTATACTTTCTCTACATTATCTATGTTGCTGGCTATCCATGTCTAAGTTCATGGAGTTATGTTGGGTGCACTTCCAGACATTCTGTAGTTTAATTTTCTGCTCAAAGCAAGATCAAGTTAGAGCACGTTGCACAGGATCTTGTTCAACCTCTCTGAGTCCATTTTCCGGTGTTTGATCTTACTTACAGTGGGAAAATAAATAACTGAATAACATTTCCCATGTCATAACAGTTGTCATCACCTCTTGTTCTCCCACTGTGCACCTCTAAGAAAAATGTAGCTCCGTCTTCGCTACACCCTCCCATGACATTGCAGGCAGCAGGCAGCAGTTAGCTCTTTGCAGAGCTTTCTCTTCTTACAGCTGAGCAAACGCATTTCTCTCCTCTTCTGCTTGTCACATGCTCAAGCCTCCTTATCGTCTGGGTATCACCAGCTGGACTCACTCCAGTGTCTTACATTGGAAAGCCCAACCTGGATGCAGAACTCCAGGTGTGGTTTTAGAAGTACCAGCAGAGTAGAAAAATCGCTTCCTTTAACCTGTTTATTACATTTGCAGAGCCCAGTGTGCATTCCGCCTGCTCTGCTGCAACACCACGCTGCTGCCTCGCATTCAGCCAGATGCCCATGAGGACCTTCATTTTCCTGCAAAACAGCTTTCTAGGACTGCATTTGCATTTTATGTTAGCAGTGGTTTAGGGCTCAGTAGAAGCCTTGTAATGCAAGCCTATACTATACAAATATCCTGGAGGTTGGCAGGGGAGACGGTTGCTTTTAAAAAAAAACGCAACCAAACAAAAAAACACCCAAAAATCCAAAGTAAACAACTGGGTTGAATTTCATAAAAAGTATTTGTGAGAATAGCCTGCTAGTTTTAAGTTTCAGTGCATCTCTAAAGCTTGTAATTAATGGGTGATGCTTATTTGGCCTAAATTGTGCTAACTTCCCCCCCACCCCTATATTTGCTGATGTACCTCATTTAAATGAGGTTCTGTTATAAGAAAATCCAGTGAAACATTTTATTCACATGCTTCCAAATCTAGGCTGTTCAGGTAGTGTATTTAGTCACAGAAGAATTTTAATTTGAATTGAGAATAAGTCTTTCTTCAGTGTGAATTAATTTCATTTGTATTTATACCAAAGCTCCAGATACCCCATTCTCACTGGTTTAGTAAGCTGTCAGAGATTAGGACAGTTCTAACTTTATTGTTAAGCACTGAAACAGCTATAGCAATCAGAGTAATGAAGGTATTGAGATTGCTTGTGCAAACTACTGTTAGTTAATATTTACAGCTAATCCTCTGGTTAATGCTATAGGCATCTGTTTGCATCTTCTGTGACTACTCCTCTATGGATATGGTACAGTGGTGTGAATTGTATAAACTACCCTAATCATTTATAGTGAGAAATATTATCTGGATTTTATTTGCTAGAATCTCCTTCACTTTCATTGCTTTCCATGGGTGAATGCAGAGATACCTGTGTTCTTCCAAGTACCAGACAGTACTCAAAGCAGATAGCAGACTTGCCTTGATTTTATTATTATTATTGTTATTATTTAATAGGAGGGGAAGAGACCATTGTGAAAGTGTTTGGCACAGCTAAAACAGCTTCTGCAGTTGAATCCTTTACTTCTGCTATATTTGTTTTTGAGCAAGTAGTTTTTGTGTATTTTCAGCAGATTGCAACTACTATGTTTTTTTCATATGTAATCCATCTTTTATTTAAATAAGTTTTAACAGACTTTTAAAAATTTTGATACAAGGAGTAGCTACGGGCAAATCAAAAGTAAGACCAACTTCTGATAGGCCCTGCGTAGTTAGTCATGAACTAGTGCTCGCTTGTTTGTTTACTGAGCATCACAATAACCTCCCATACACGTTATTAAAATCCTTGGTATGAGGTTGTCATGTTCTGATGATATCTCATCAGAACCCTTCATCTTGTGGTGTAAATACACTTCACAATCCAATGCGTTGCAAGACACAGTTGTCTTATTACCTAACTGACATAAAGTATACCTTCTGTGTTAAGGGAAAATCATTACAGATACAAAGTTCAGTTGCTTCTCCCATCAAAGGGCACAGCCCTCCTCATCCTTCAGGGACTGGGGACTTTCCTGCTTCTGGAGTTTTGACATTCCTTTGTATGGTCAGTTCCTATGATATTCATATAATATTTATGTTTTACCTAATAATACCAAACTGCAATAAAATGCATTTCTAGGGTGATAAATTATCGCAAAGTCTAAACCTCTGTAAATTAATCCAGTTTATCAAGACAGAACTGTCAAGTTCTGTGTTCGGGTTTGGAATATTAAATTTCCAAATAGAAAAGACATACTACGAAACAGTTTTTCTGAGTTTCCAGAATAGTAAGGCTAATTACTTGCTTTGCTTTCTAATTTTAGAAAATAGACAAAATAATTTGCTAGGATACTGTTCTAATACTACATGTTGGTTTAAATAGTTCATTATATTCATGTGATGCTATGGTCTTTAAAACTTTTACCTGCCCTTTTATCTTTTAAGCTTCTTTTTAAAAAGAGTTACTTAGTAAGGAAATTAACTTGGACCATATGTATGATGCATAGTAATTTAAATACTAATGCTTCAATATTGAAAAAGTGAAATCTGAGGCTTGTGTAACTTAAGGAGACACTTTCTTAGCACATTTGTGCTTCAGTCAATTCAGTTGTTCAGATATATACAGTAGTAGTAGTAGTAATTGTAATTAGGTCTTTTGAGAATTTCTTGACTTTTTTTATCCACTAGAGCAGAACCTTTTAGACTTTAGTGGCATAAAGTTGTTTAGGGGTTTAATTTTTTTTTTTCCAGACACTTGAGGAAGGCCCAGGGCAAGCATTAAAAGTTCACAGTACAGTAATTTTTTCTATAAGGAAAAAATTACTAAAAAGCAATGTTTTTTGCAGTTTTTTGGTGTTTGTGATGACTTTCCCAAAAGGAAAAAGATGCTGAAATTCTTTAATTAGTGGAATTTACTGTTAAAAAAAAAAATAAAATCAT